AAGAGAGGGGATGGTAGGAGTTGGATTGGCTGGGTTGAGGCAGCCTTTAGCTAGGGCAGTATGGGAGGAAGAGGGGGATGGATATCCAGGTCTGAGAATGTCTATGCCAGAGGCGCCTCAAATCAAATCAAACAATCCTGCCCCCACCTGCAAGGCAGTTGAGCAGAGTGGTCTTGCCCGTGCCCCTGCCGCCCGCGACAGCTGTCACCTCCCCCGGTTTCACCCACCCCGTCACCCCCCGCACCAGGCACCGGCTGGCCTCGCTCCTCCTCCTCTCCTCCCTACTAGCGCCAACCGAAGACCTCCCCCCCCAGGCGATCTCAGGCGGGCCGGGCAGCGGCACGGAGCAGGAGAGGTTCTCGAAGGTGATAAGGTAGGGGGTGAAGGGGATGTTGCAGTCTATCACCGCTGCCTCTGCTGCCCCTGCTGCCTCCGCTGCTGCTGCTGCCGCCTCCTCTGCTGTTTCAGCATACCGTGAGCTCCCATCGCTGTCCCTCACACTGACAGGACCCCATTCCACGTCTCGGTAGCTCAGTTGCCTCCCCAGCCCTCCCTGCTCTCCCTGCCCTCCCTGCTCCCCTGCTCCTGCAGACTCCTTTTGGGAACCGCCCTCTCCTTCACCCGCTGCTGCTCTCTCCTTCCCACTGCCCCTCTCCTGACCTGAGCCCCCAAGGGCCGCCTTAACTGCCTCCAGAGCCCTCGTTGCTGATCCCCCACCCGCTCCCCCATTTCCCTTCCCATTCCCCTCATCCCTCGCACCAGCCCGTTTTTCCCCGCGCTTGGCCTCGGATAGAACCCTCACCGGCGCAGCAAAGGTGCTGTAGTGCCGCGGCCGCATGCTCAGATACGTCCCCACGGTCCAAATGGCAATCCAGGCGAGGATCACAAACGGCCCTGCAATCATAAACCCCCATTGGTAGTTCCAGCTGTATTCCTCCATGTAAGCTCGGCCGATCGGCCACCCCTCGCGCCCCACACAGTACGGCATGTTTGTTGGGACGAGCGCAGGAGCCGGGCAGAACTGCACTGGAGCGAACATCCGCTGCTCGTTGATCGCCAGAACCGTCGACGCCCACTGCATGGGGTTGATCCAGTATAGCCAGATCCAGAAACTCGGTATAAGCGCCTTGGCGACGAGGATGTGGCCGAAGAGGAACATGCCCGGGCCCATGAAGATTGCTGCGGCGAACGCGGCGGAGCGGAGGGTGCGGGAGGTGAAGGCGATGAAGCGGATCATGGCGGCCCCGTGGATGGCCACGAGGGAGAGCACTGCGAGGAAGATGAAGAAGTGCGCTCCGTAGTCCGAGAGAGTGAGGCCCGAGAGGAAATACACCAGCACCGACCAGATGGTCGCCTGTAGGTGGGACGGGGAGAAGGAAGGGGAGGGATGGGTTAGTTATGCATGGGAGTTTCAAGGAGAGGAGGAGGGAAGAGGGAGGAGGGAGGAGGGAGGAGGGAGACGGGAGGAGGGGAATGGGCAGGAAGGAAGGGAGGGGGAGCGGAGGGTGCGGGAGGAAGATGAAGAAGTGTGCGCCGTAGTCGGAGAGAGTCAGACCTGATAGGAAATACACCAGCACCGACCAGATAAGCGCCTGTGGGGGGAGGGAGGGGATGGTGGAGGAGGGGGAAGCGCAAGGGATGTGGGGATTGGGGGAGGGGAGGCCCGAGCGGAAATACACCAGCACCAACCAGATAAGCGCCTGTGGGGGGAGGGAGGGGATGGTGGAGGAGGGGATGGTGGAGGAGGGGGAAGCGCAAGGGATGTGGGGATAGGGGGAGGGGAGGCCCGAGCGGAAATACACCAGCACCAACCAGATGGTCGCCCCCCGACCGAACGAGCACGGCCCAACACGCTCCCTTCCTGCCTCACGGCACACTGTTTGTTCATCTGCCTGCCCAACCGCCCAGCCACCCAGCCGCCCAGGCTCTCACCCACCCAGCCGCCCACTCATGCACCCACCCACCCACAAACCTGCCCACGCACGCACCTCAAGTTTCAACAATGGAGAGCGGCAAACTAGCAATGAGCTGGGAGAGCGCGTAGGAGCGCGTGCGGAAGAAGCGGGCGCTGCGGTGCTTGAAGTACACCTGGCAGGCTGGCAACTCCATTTCATCTCAGGATCCACGTTTCACCCCACCCCACCCCACCACACCACACCACACCACACAATCATTCTCAGCTGCCTCAGAATGAGCCCCACGCACACTCCTTTTCAAATCCGCCCCACGCACCTCAACAATGGAGAGCGGCAAACTAGCAATCAACTGGGAGAGCGCGTAGGAGCGCGTGCGGAAGAAGCGGGCGCTGCGGTGTTTGAAGTAGACCTGGCGCTCGAGCATGTAGCCGGGCAGCAGGCTCACGTTGTTCACCGTCATGGTGATCAGCGATATCTGCATCACCCCCCGCCGCAGGTTCAGGTGCGCGAAGGAGGGTGGGTCCGCTGGCAGCTGGAAGAAATCGAATCCCACAAAGAGGCCCAGCAGGGTCACCTGGGGAAGGGAGGGAAAGGAGAAGGGAGAAGGGAAAGGGAGAGTGAGAGGGCGGTTCTGTGAAACATGTCTCTGTTTTCAAGCGGCAGCAGGCTGACGCTGTTGACTGTCATGGTGATGAGCGAGATCTGCATCACCCCCCGCCCCCGCCGCAGGTTGAACTTGAGGTGCGCCAAGGAGGGGCGGTTCTGCTGGCAGCTGGAAATTTTCGAATCCGATGAGACCCAGCAGAATGACCTGCGGAGGGAGGGAGGGAGGAAGGAAAGGGGCGGAGGGTGAGGAGTGGACGTTAGCAAATGACATTTGATGGCACCTCAGAAGCTGGAAAGAATCGAAGCCTACAAAGAGACCCAGCAGGGTGACCTGCGGAGAGAGGGAGGGCGGGCGGGAGGAAAGAAGCAGGGAGAAGGGACAAGGGAGACGGGAGAACCCTTCTCTCTCACCAGCAGCAGGCGAGCAGCAATGAAGCTCGAGCTCCTGAGGTTCACTTGCATCTGCCTCTTAAGCAGCAGCTTGAACTCAGGCCACAGGTCCAGAATCAGCTCCTTGCGCAGCAGCTCCCTGTTCTCTCCCCCCCCAACAGCACGTGACCCCACCGCAAGCAAGCCACCCCACTCCCAGAGCAACCTTGCACCCAAACACCTCGCTTGCACAAAATCCCTCCCACTTACCAGCAGCAGGCGGGCAGCAATGAAGCTCCGGTTCCTGAGATTCACTTGCATCTGCCTCTTAAGCAGCAGCTTAAACTCGGGCCACGGGTCCAGAATCAACTCCTTGCGCAGCAGCTCCCTGTTCTCCCCGCCCCACAGCCCTGCCATCACCGCCGCTCTTGACGCCTTCGCTGCCGCCGACAGGTTTATGGCTTTAAGAGCCTGAGCGGCGCCCTTGCCCTGCAGCTGGATAAACTCCCCGCTCTTCCTCCTGCTGCCCTGGAGGCCTTTCAGTGCCGACGAGCCGATGGTTTTGAAGGCTTTAGTGATGGCGCGGGGGATGGCCTTTGGGAGCGACTGGATGCCCCCCGCGATGCTGCGCTTCTTTCTCCCTGCTGCTGCTTCTGCTGCTGCCGTTCCATGCTCTCCCTCGTCGTCCGCACCTGCCCCGTTCGGACCTGCCGAGCCCGGTCCGGCACTGTCGCACCTGGCAATGTGGCTGACCAGAGCACGTGTGTCGTCCACGTCAGCATGGCTGTCATGGATGTCAACACGGCTTTCGTTGACATTCACAGAGGCGGCCGCCACGCCTGCACCACCACCACCTGCAGCAGCAACATCAGCAGCACCAGCAGTAGCAGCATCCCCACCAGCACTCGCAGCACCACAGCCCGTCTGTGCCTCCATATCGCTGGGTGCCTTGGTGCTGCTGCTGCCTATCAGCTGCTCGCTTTCCTCCGCCTTGTCATCGCTGCTGCTGCCGCCTTGGGCGGCTGCTTCCTGGCTGGATTCTTCCTGGGTCGCTGCAGTGTTCTGGAGGTGGGATGGGAGAAGGCAGGAGAGGGAGACACTTAAACCCCAAAACCCTTCAACCCTAAAACCCTTCAACCCTAAAACCCCGGACAGAGAGTGCCCAGTGGAAGGGTGGCCGGCGAAATCAAGCGGCGCAGGCGAGCTATGCAGGGATGCATGAGCACAAGCCTTGCCAAAACCAAACCCCATGCAACAACTCCCACACCCCCGGGCCCCCCGGCGTGCACTCACCTGTTGTGTGACTATATTGAGGGGTCGCTGCAGCTCCAGATGCAGCCACGTGGAGCTATCTCTAACCTCTTCCAACATCTCCATTATCTCCTCCCCCGGTACATTCCTCCCCCCGCCCAGCACACACACAGGCACTCACCTGTTGTGTGACTATAAGGAGGGGTCGCTGCAGCTCAAGATGCAGCCACGTGGAGCTGTCCCTCACCTCCTCCAACATCTCCATTATCTCCTCTACCGGCACATCCCCCCCCGCATACCGTGCATACTCCATCTCGCCTCGATCGCCCACTGTCACCGCAACCACCACATCCCCCACACACACCGGTCCCGTTGCCTCTAACCCCTCTTCCAGATGCCCTCCCTCTCCCCCTCTCCCCCCCGGCTCATCGAAGTAAACACGCGCCTCTGTCACCACCACTGCTTGGTACGGCGAGTTATTAGCTTCTTCTCTGCCCTCTCCTGCTCTGCTGCTTGCTGCTGCACCGCTCTGCTGCTGCTGCTGCTGCTGCTGCTGCTGCTGCTGCTGCTGCTGCTGCTGCTGCTGTGGCTGGTCTCCCTTCCTCTCGCCGTTTGGCGCTGACGTGGCGGCGTCTGGAGCGCTGGCGTCTGCTGCTGACGGGGTGTCAGGTGCCACGTCAGCGATCGCGCAGCGGATCCGGGAAAGGACGCGGCATGCCGGCCCGGAGATCCAGAGGAGGAGGAGAGGCGTGGGGTGGCTTGTGACACGGAGGATGTTCTTGTAATGAGGGGACTTCTTGTATGCACGCACTGTTGGCAGGCACGCAGGAGAGATGGGTGTATGAAAAGAAAATAAGGATGTCGAGATGTGAGAGAAGGATGAAGAAGGTGAAGAGAATGATGAAGAGAATGATGAAGAGGATGATGAAGAGGATGATGAAGAGGATGATGAAGAGAATGATGAAGAGGATGATGAAGAGGATGATGAAGAGGATGATGAAGAGGATGATGAAGAGGATGATGAAGAGGATGATGAAGAGAATGATGAAGAGAATGATGAAGAGGATGATGAAGAGGATGATGAAGAGGATGATGAAGAGGATGATGAAGAGGATGATGAAGAGGATGATGAAGAGGATGATGAAGAGGATGATGAAGAGGATGACGAAGAGGATGACGAAGAGGATGACGAAGAGGATGACGAAGAGGATGACGAAGAGGATGACGAAGAGGATGACGAAGAGGATGACGAAGAGGATGACGAAGAGGATGATGAAGAGGATGATGAAGAGGATGATGAAGAGGATGATGAAGAGGATGATGAAGAGGATGATGAAGAGGATGATGAAGAGGATGATGAAGAGGATGATGAAGAGGATGATGAAGAGGATGATGAAGAGGATGATGAAGAGGATGATGAAGAGGATGATGAAGAGGATGATGAAGAGGATGATGAAGAGGATGATGAAGAGGATGATGAAGAGGATGATGAAGAGGATGATGAAGAGGATGATGAAGAGGATGATGAAGAGGATGATGAAGAGGATGATGAAGAGGATGATGAAGAGGATGATGAAGAGGATGATGAAGAGGATGATGAAGAGGATGATGAAGAGGATGATGAAGAGGATGATGAAGAGGATGATGAAGAGGATGATGAAGAGGATGACGAAGAGGATGACGAAGAGGATGACGAAGAGGATGACGAAGAGGATGACGAAGAGGATGACGAAGAGGATGACGAAGAGGATGACGAAGAGGATGACGAAGAGGATGACGAAGAGGATGACGAAGAGGATGACGAAGAGAATGATGAAGAGGATGATGAAGAGGATGATGAAGAGAATGATGAAGAGAATGATGAAGAGGATGATGAAGAGGATGATGAAGAGGATGATGAAGAGGATGATGAAGAGGATGATGAAGAGGATGATGAAGAGAATGATGAAGAGGATGATGAAGAGCATGATGAAGAGGATGATGAAGAGGATGATGAAGAGGATGATGAAGAGGATGATGAAGAGGATGATGAAGAGGATGATGAAGAGGATGATGAAGAGGATGATGAAGAGGATGATGAAGAGGATGATGAAGAGGATGATGAAGAGGATGATGAAGAGGATGATGAAGAGGATGATGAAGAGGATGATGAAGAGGATGATGAAGAGGATGATGAAGAGGATGATGAAGAGGATGATGAAGAGGATGATGAAGAGGATGATGAAGAGGATGATGAAGAGGATGATGAAGAGGATGATGAAGAGGATGATGAAGAGGATGATGAAGAGGATGATGAAGAGGATGATGAAGAGGATGATGAAGAGGATGATGAAGAGGATGATGAAGAGGATGATGAAGAGGATGATGAAGAGGATGATGAAGAGGATGATGAAGAGGATGATGAAGAGGATGATGAAGAGGATGATGAAGAGGATGATGAAGAGGATGATGAAGAGGATGATGAAGAGGATGATGAAGAGAATGATGAAGAGGATGATGAAGAGGATGATGAAGAGGATGATGAAGAGGATGATGAAGAGGATGATGAAGAGGATGATGAAGAGGATGATGAAGAGGATGACGAAGAGGATGACGAAGAGGATGACGAAGAGGATGACGAAGAGGATGACGAAGAGGATGACGAAGAGGATGAGATGATGAAGAGGATGATGAAGAGGATGATGAAGAGGATGATGAAGAGGATGATGAAGAGGATGATGAAGAGGATGATGAAGAGGATGATGAAGAGGATGATGAAGAGGATGATGAAGAGGATGATGAAGAGGATGATGAAGAGGATGACGAAGAGGATGACGAAGAGGATGACGAAGAGGATGACGAAGAGGATGACGAAGAGGATGACGAAGAGGATGACGAAGAGGATGACGAAGAGGATGACGAAGAGGATGACGAAGAGGATGATGAAGAGGATGATGAAGAGGATGATGAAGAGGATGATGAAGAGGATGATGAAGAGGATGATGAAGAGAATGATGAAGAGGATGATGAAGAGGATGATGAAGAGGATGATGAAGAGGATGATGAAGAGGATGATGAAGAGGATGATGAAGAGGATGATGAAGAGGATGACGAAGAGGATGACGAAGAGGATGACGAAGAGGATGACGAAGAGGATGACGAAGAGGATGACGAAGAGGATGACGAAGAGGATGATGAAGAGGATGATGAAGAGGATGATGAAGAGGATGATGAAGAGGATGATGAAGAGGATGATGAAGAGGATGATGAAGAGGATGATGAAGAGGATGATGAAGAGGATGATGAAGAGGATGATGAAGAGGATGATGAAGAGGATGATGAAGAGGATGACGAAGAGGATGACGAAGAGGATGACGAAGAGGATGACGAAGAGGATGACGAAGAGGATGACGAAGAGGATGACGAAGAGGATGACGAAGAGGATGACGAAGAGGATGACGAAGAGGATGATGAAGAGGATGATGAAGAGAATGACGAAGAGGATGACGAAGAGGATGATGAAGAGGATGATGAAGAGGATGATGAAGAGGATGATGAAGAGGATGATGAAGAGGATGATGAAGAGGATGATGAAGAGGATGATGAAGAGGATGATGAAGAGGATGATGAAGAGGATGATGAAGAGGATGATGAAGAGGATGATGAAGAGGATGATGAAGAGGATGATGAAGAGGATGATGAAGAGGATGATGAAGAGGATGATGAAGAGGATGATGAAGAGGATGATGAAGAGGATGATGAAGAGGATGATGAAGAGGATGATGAAGAGGATGATGAAGAGGATGATGAAGAGGATGATGAAGAGGATGATGAAGAGGATGATGAAGAGGATGATGAAGAGGATGATGAAGAGGATGATGAAGAGAATGATGAAGAGGATGATGAAGAGGATGATGAAGAGGATGATGAAGAGGATGATGAAGAGGATGATGAAGAGAATGATGAAGATGATGAAGAGGATGATGAAGAGGATGATGAAGAGGATGATGAAGAGGATGATGAAGAGGATGATGAAGAGGATGATGAAGAGGATGATGAAGAGGATGATGAAGAGGATGATGAAGAGAATGATGAAGAGGATGATGAAAAGGATGATGAAGAGGATGATGAAGAGGATGATGAAGAGGATGATGAAGAGGATGATGAAGAGGATGATGAAGAGGATGATGAAGAGGATGATGAAGAGGATGATGAAGAGGATGATGAAGAGGATGATGAAGAGGATGATGAAGAGGATGATGAAGAGAATGATGAAGGGAATGATGGTACATACGGATGGTAGGTAACACGTGGGTGTCTGGAGGGAACGGTAGCACCCTTTACTCACCGAAGCCCTCGAGCAGCAGCTTCCTCTTGCCGGACCTGAGGGCTCCACCCCCCCTCCTCCATGGTGACGTGCTGCAGGTACCCATCTCACTCGCCCAGCCCCATCATCCTTCCGAACCGAACCCCTCCGCACCACACTCACCAAACCCCCTCAGCAGCACCCTTTACTCACCGAAGCCCTCGAGCAGCAGCTTTCTCCTGCCGGACCTGAGGGCTCCCCCGCCCTCCGTGGTGACGTGCTGCAGGTACTCGGGCACTGACATGTGTAGCGGCTTCAGGTAGCTGAGGGGGAGGGGGAAGGGGTGGAAGGAAGGGGTGGGAGACGAGGGGAGAGGAATGGGGGAAATGAGGGAAAGGAAAGTTGTTAGGGGCACTGGCATGTGCGAGGGGCCTCAAATGCAATCATCTGCTCTGCGGAGTAAGACACGGTTTTGAGACGTCTCAAAACTAGTAAGACATGACATGTATTGATCCAGGTTTCAGGAGGTCCGGGTGTGTTATGAGACGAGTTTTGAGGCGCCTCAAAACGCATATGGATCCAGGTTTTAGGAGGTCCAGGCCAGGTGTGTTGAAAGTCGGCGGAGGGAGGGAGGAAGGGGAGGGCGGGAAGAAGGGGTGGGAATAAGAGGGGGTTGGACGAGGGGGAGTGAAGAGTGGGAGAAAAAGCAGGGGATGGAAAGGGTACGGGAATGAGTGTAAGATGTGCTTGGTAAGGCCCTTAGACGGTAGAGCCCTGACATGCACACACACATGCGCACACACATGCGCACACATGCACGCACACATGCACGCACACATGCGCACACACATGCGCACACACATGCGCACACACATGCGCACACATGCACGCACACATGCGCACACACATGCACACACACATGCGCACACACATGCACACACACATGCGCACACACATGCACACACACATGCGCACACACATGCACACACACATGCACACACACATGCACACACACATGCACACACACATGCACGCACACATGCACACACACATGCACACACACATGCACACACACATGCACGCACACATGCACACACACATGCACAAACATGCACACACACACACACAGAACACACACACACACAAACACACACACACACATACACACACACACACACATACACACACACACACATACACACACACATACACACACACACACACACGCATCGCTCACCCCAGCTGCTGGAAGTGTCGGAGAGCGGTGTGGCAGGGCCCTGGTAGACGATGTTGCCCTGGTCGAGTGCAGCACCGTGAGCAGCAGCACAGCACACACACACACACACACACACACACACACACACACACACACACACACACACACCCATGCACACATATGCGTGCTTTCCGCTCACCCCAGCTGCTGAAAGTGCCTTAGCGCGGTGTGGCAGGGCCCCTGGTAGACAATGTTGCCCTGGTTGAGCACTATCACACGGTCGAAGAGGGAGAAGACGGCCTGGGTGGGCCACTGCAGGGAACACAGCACCGCGTGCTGCCGCACCTGGTGTGTGCGTGCGTGGGTGCGTGCGTGTTGAGGGGTAAGTGGGGAGAAGGGAGGGGCAGAGTGTGGTGATGTGCCTCAGATCTGGTTGAGCACTATCACGCGGTCGAAGAGGGAGAAGACAGCCTGTGTGGGCCACTGCAGGGAGCACAGCACCGCGTGCTGCCGCACCTGGTGAATGTGGGTGGATGGAGGTGTGTGGGTGCAGGTGTGGGTGTTAGTGAGGGGGTGGACACAAGGACACGGTCGAAGAGAGAGAAGACCGCCTGTGTGGGCCACTGCTGCAGGGAGGGAGCACAGCACCGCGTGTTGCCGCACCTGTGTTTGCATGTGGGTATGGGTGTGTGGGGGTTATGGGGGAGGGGGAGAGGGTGTATTGGAAGAGGGGTGTGAGGGAGAGGCGGGCATACAGAAGGGGTCTCCCTACAATAGATCGAAAAAAACAAACAAACAGCACATAAACAGAACTTCATGCAGCTTAAGAACGCACAGAGACAAGACTGCGGCTGTGCAAAGGATGAGAGTCATGTGCTTGGGTGAGGAAAGGGGAAGGGGGGAAGGGGGGAAGGGGGGAAGGGGGGAAGGGGGGAAGGGGGGAAGGGGGGAAGGGGGGAAGGGGGGAAGGGGGGAAGGGGGGAAGGGGGGAAGGGAGGAAGGGGGGAAGGGAGGAAGGGGGGAAGGGAGGAAGGGGGGAAGGGAGGAAGGGGGGAAGGGGGAAAGGGGGGAAGGGGGAAAGGGGGGAAGGGGGAAGGGGGGAAGGGGGGAATGGGGAAGGGGGGAAGGGGGAAGGGGGGAAGGGGGAAAGGGGGAAGGGGGGAATGGGGAAGGGGGAAAGGGGGAAGGAGGGGAGGGCTGACCTGGGCGTGGGTGCGCAGCATGGTGAGCGTCTTGTGCGTGGACGGCCCATCATACACTTGGCTGATGCGATCGAACAGCAGCACCTGCCAAGGGTGGTGGGGAGGGAGGAGGGAGAAGCAGCACACGCGCGTAGGGTGAGCATCTTGTGCGTGGAGGGCCCATCATACACTTGGCTGATGCGATCGAACAGCAGCACCTGGGGGGGGGGGGAGGGGGGGGGGGAGGGAGGAGGAGGGGAAGGGGCAGATGGGGAGAGAAGAGAAGCAGCGCATGCGAGTAGGGTGAGTGTCTTGTGCGTGGACGGCCCATCATACACTTGGCTGATGCGATCGAACAGCAGCACCTGCCAAGGGTGGTGGGGAGGGAGGAGGGAAAAAGGGGCAGATGGGGAGAGAAGCAGCACACGCGATGATTTTTTAGGCGCCTGAAAAACCGTCACATGCAGTGAGGGCATATGTGGCATGAGAGGGCGTGCGTGACCATGTGAGGCATGAGCATCCATGTGCAAAGCCCCCCACACACCCCACCCGCTCATCCTTCTAAAGGCGCCTCAAAACTCACCGGGTAGGCGCCAACCATGAGCTCTGCAGCAGTCAGTCTCTGCACGTCATCATCCCTCGTCAGCCCCATGACCCGACCTGCACTGCACCCCCTCTAGCCTTCTAAATCAACGCAACACTCACCGGGTAGGCGCCAACCATGAGCTCTGCAGCAGTCAGTCTCTGCACGTCATCATCCCTCGTCAGCCCCATGACCCGACCTGCACTGCACCCCCTCTAGCCTTCTAAATCAACGCAACACTCACCGGGTAGGCGCCAACCATGAGCTCTGCGGCAGTCAGGCGGTGCACCTCGTCCCGACTCAACGCTCCCGACCCCACCCGCTCCCCAGCGTGCCTCCTCAGCCCAAACATGGCCGCTCTGGACGCCACTAGCGGATCCTCGCCCCTCTCTATGCTCGCTTTAGTCAGCCTGAAAACTCACCGGGTAAGCGCCGACCATGAGCTCAGCAGCAGTCAGCCGGTGCACCTCGTCCCGAGTCAACGCCCCTGACCCAACCCGCTCCCCGGCATGTCTTCTCAGCCCAAACATGGCCTCTCGGGACGCCACCAGGGGATCCTCGCCCCTCTCTATGCTCGCCCGCAGCGCCTTGCCCAGCATGGGGTGCTGCAGCAGCTGCTTGACTGACAGCGGGTACGAGCAGTGGCGGGCGAAGGCGAGGGTTTCGTGCACGGAGAGCGCGGGAAGATGGCAGTCGGCGTCGAAACCGACCCCTACGAGGCGGTGCGCGCGGGAGGGCGTGATGGGGAAGGCGTTGAAAGCCACGGTGCCGTTGGTTGGGGGTTGGCGGCCGGCCAGCAGGCGGATGAGCGTTGACTTGCCGCTGCCTGGTGGATGACGGGGCGGAGAGAGGGGGGTGTGGGACAGACGAGGGAATGAAGGGTTGGGGGGGTGAGGGACTGCAGCGCAGGTGCAGGTGAAGGTGAGGGTTACGACTCTGGTGAACGGAGAGGGCGGGGAGATGGCAGTCGGCGTCGAGGCCCACCCCCACGAGGCGGTGCGGGAGGGCGTGATGGGGTGCGCGTTGAAGGACACGGTGCGGGTGGCGGCGGGCTGGCAGCCGGCTAGCAGGCGGATGAGCGTTGACTTGCCGCTGCCTGTGGGGACCACAGCGGGGGGAAGGGGGGTTGGGTTGGGGGGGTGGATGAATAGGGTGGGGAGGGCATGATGGGCAGCGCGTTGAAGGCCACCGTGACAGTGGTGAGCAGGCGGATGAGCATTGACTTACCACTGCCTGTGGGGGTACAGAGGAGGGGTGGGGTGGGGGTGGGTGAAGGGTTGAAGCGGGGGGATGTGGGGGGGAACGATGAATCGGGCAGGGAAGGTGTGACGGGGAGGGCGTTGATATGAGACGGTGTTGGTTGGTGGTGGGGGGATGCCGCTGGCCAAGAGGCGGTTTAGGGTTGACTTGACAGTGCCTGTACCACAACGTGAGGACGCGCGAACGAGAAGGGAATAACGGGGTGGTGGTGGGTTGGCGGCATGCAATGTCCACTAGCTACCTGGCAGTCTCAAGACGGGCTCACCTGGGAGGGACCCACCTGGGACCCACCTGAAGCCCACCTGAGGCCCACCTGAGTCTCTCACCTGAGGCCCACCTGAATATCACCTGATGGCAGGTGGGTGGAGGAAGACAAGATAAGATCGGCTCACCTGAGGTTCCCAGGAGGAGTGTGAGAGTCCCTGGCATGAGGAAGCTGCAAGGAAAGTGTGGGAATGGAAAGGGAGAGCGGAAGGCGGTGAGTGGCACTTGTCTCCTCACGAGCAAAAGGGGTGAGTGGGGGCGTGGGGGAAGGGAAGCAAGGCACGCATGGATTGATTTGGATATAGGTGTTTGGCACGTGGGAGACACACTCAATGCACGTGCTCAACACACGAAGGAAGGCGGGATACAGTGTGCAGGGCAGGACAGGACAGGACAGGTGCGCAGTATGCAGTTAGGCGTACAGCAGAGAGCACGAGACGCGCCCTGAGACATTTCGATGCGTGATACAGTGTACAGCGGGACAGGATAGGAGGGAAAGGAAGCAGGGGGCAGGAGAGGCACGCACCCTGAGACATCATCAAGCACGTGAATGGTCTCCTTCCTCTGCGAGCCGGCAGTGGACTTAGGTGAATTTTGAGTCAACTCAAAAGTCACCTCAGGAGAGGTGGGAAGGGAAGCAGAGGGCTCGGCACGAGACTCAACTCACCCTGAGACATCATCAAGCACGTGAATGGTCTCCTTCCTCTGCCATCCCGCGACAGACTTGAGCTTGAAATACGGCTGCTCCGATACGCGGGGTGGGAGAGAGAGGAACAGAGAGGGGAAGATAGGCAGTGAGCAATGGTGTCAAGGAGGGTACGAAAACAGCACATTAGGTAGCTTGTGTTGCATAGCACACCCCCTCTTCTCCCTTGCACACCCGCTGGTGTCCGCACAGCCTGCAGTGTAATGATGGCCTGGTGGCATTACAATGGTGCAGTCTTGTCGTACAGGCTACAGCAGCCAGTGACCTTTGGGGTTGATTCAAACGTCACCCGCTGGGACGCTCCGTTGGTGGCCGCACGGCCAGTGATGGCCTGGCCTTGAGGCATTGCAATGGGCGGCCTTGTCGTGCGACAGCCAAAGACCTTTGGGGTCAATTAAAAGCCACCCGCTGGGCCGCTGGTGTCCGTCTGCACCGTCTGCATTGATATGATGGCCTGGCCTTGAGGCATGGTGCTGCTGCTGCCTTGTCGTACAGCCAGTGATCTCCCTGCAATCCCCCATGCATGCCACCCTTCTCACCGCATCCCCCCAGTCTCAGTTAGGCTATGGCTCACCGCCCCTTCCCACGGGCCACTCTCACCGCATTGTGGTGACCACACCACCCTTCTGAGGATTCTCATAAGTCCCACCCACCGTCCCACCCCCCCACTCTCACCGCGTTGAAGCAGTTTTTGATCTGATCCGGGATGACCACCACCTTCTTTGTCACTGACACGTGGCTGAACGTCACCACCTGATTGGGTGGGTTGCACAAGTGGATTCCTGGATTGCTGAGTTGAGGGTGACCATGCAGGTCTGCATGCACACACTTGCACGAACGTGCGCGCGCGCACACACAAACACATGTACGCACGCACACAAACGCGCACGCGCGCGCGCGCACGCGCGCGCACACACACACACACACACACGCTTGTGCTCCCTAGTTCTCACCTGTGGCTGCGCGCACAGCAGGTTTGGCTGCATGGCAATCAGATACTTCTGCAGGCCCTCCCTCACCATCACCTCGCTCCTCGCCCCCTCCCCCTCCTCCTCGTTCTCCATCCGCCCCGGCCCCCACCCACCTCCCACTCCTCCTTCTCCCCCTCTCCCGTCCCCCTCCTCTCCATCCTCCCCCTCCCCATCCACCTCATCCTCTTCCGCCGCGCCCCGCCTGCGCGAAGCCATGCTCTTGATGCTCACGAGTCGCGCGGCGGCGGACGCGGCGATCTCCTGCGCCTCCTCCGCCAGCCCGTGCGCGGTGAGCGCGTCGTGGTACCGTCGGATCAGGTTGATCAACGGCGCCTCGCCGATCCCGAACAGCTCGTTATAAAATGCCGAGGACGACGGGCCGCTAGAAGGCTCTTCCGCGTCGGAATCGCCGGGGAACGCGGAGGAAGTGGAGGAAATGGCGGAAGCGGCGGAAGCGAAGATGCCGGCGGCGGCGGAGTGCCACGTGTCAGCACCGGCGAGACCGGCGACCCCGCTGTGCCCCTCGCCGTAGGGTGCATTCATTCCACTGTCATCATCTGCCGCATCCTCGTTATTAACCTCCTCCATTGTGCCGTCAACGCCGAGTTTCCACGTGCCAGCAGCAAAGCTCACTCGCCCGAGCTTCCCCCGCCTGACTCTCTCCGCGCTGCCCGCTTCATCCCCCCCTTCTCTGGCTCCCCCCGGCGCAGTCCCCCCGCGGCCATCTTCCCCGTCAGTTTCCCCCGTTCCTCCCCCCCACCCATCCGCTCCGCCTCCCCCGGCGGTACTACCTTCCCCGCGCTCTGGCTCCTCCCCCTCCGCTTCTTCGTCCTCCGACTCCGCGACTTCTTGGATCGACCCGACTTGGTAACGCATCGGCGCACCACCGGACGTGCTACTAGCGAAACTCGGGATCGCACTAACGAAGCTTGAGGTTTTTTCTGACGAGCTTCTTCCAGAAAGGTTGGAAATGGTCCTGCTGCTGCTAGCAGGAGGGTTATTCAGCGAAGGGTCTAAGGACGGCTGAGCCATGAAAGATCGCGAGCTCGTGAAGGATTGCTGCTGACGCGACGACTGCTGACGTGTCGATTGCTGACGTGTCGACTGCCGGCCCATCGACTGCTGACGCATCGTCAACCGACGCCGGAGCACGGCATAATCATTAGGCGCGGCGTCGCGACGGAAATCGTTGGTGGTCGAATCCGGAGTGACGCCATCGTACCAGTCGTCTAGCGTATCGGGTACTACTGACGTGTCATCGTCAGAATCCAAGATGGATGGAGCCATGACGACGATTATGAACAGACGGTGGAGAGCTGAACGAGCGGGTTAGTGTAGACGCGTGTTGGAATAAATAATCGTTTAATCAGACTACCGCCGCGACTAGCGCAGTACTAAGATATATCGCATAGTCGCATTATCCGCAATAAGGTTGATGCTTCCCCGACTTGTCTTCTATAACACGTCATGTGGCTTGCCATGAAATCCCTGTTCGCGTGCTGCACAGTCGCCGTGACGAGAACGAACGACTTTTATATGACGATTACAGAAAACATTTCCGTAAGTCAAGGCTGCAAGAGGCTCTAGGTTTGCCAACCAACAGCTCGTGCTCGCCAAAGAGAGCGGCTCACAAGACTTTACAAACGCTGTAGTCTACTTTTCCTGCTGCTACGGCTAGCAACTGTTGTGGGTCAGAACGATGTTGTGGGCGGTACTCGCCGTAGGTAAGCTACACCTACATGGATTTCATGGCTCACATTACATCTTCACCCCGCCTTTCCTTCCATCGACTTCTCGTGTTTCGCCTCGACATTCACTATCCTATCTACCTTACCTTCAGCTATAATCGTTGTCTGCGTCTCCATGAACAAACTGTAACTTCCCTCCTCTGTGCGCTCCGCCCGACTCCCTCCCAGACACCTAGTAGAAATAAGGGACGATTGTCGCTGAAATTTTAAAGTTGCATAGAAACAAAATCTGGGTACGGTACCCATACATACTTGGTGGCTCGTTGGTAGCAAAACATTTTCAGACTTCCTGTCTGTCTGGGTACGGTGTTTGCTCCCGGAAAAATGACTTCTCTCCTGCACAACTTAGAAGAGAACCAACCAATCGTCACATTAATTTTCCCATACAGCTTGATTATCTAATCCGGTTAGGGCGTTTATCCAGATTGCCGACTATAACCTTTGGCTCTTCGCTTTGGTCCGATTTGAACGTTGCTGCACTGGGATGGTTCGGGATAGGTTGGTATGGGATGCATTTTCTCGTCTCTTGCTCGAACGTCGCTGTACTGGGGTGGTTCGGGATAGGTTGTTTTGGTCTGGGTGCCCACGTCTTTTCAGGGGTCTTTAGGGCGCGCTGAGTTTAAATTGCTCGATGAATTGCCCACTTCGTAGCGTGGCGATACGTCTCTCAACTGTATTTTACCGTTAAAAAAACTCTCTAGAAGTTCGAACTTTGGCAAAAGTCGACCGCGGTTCATACGTTTTAGAGCGTGGAACATGGGTTGACCAATTTACTATAAGGACAAATACAGATAATTCGGTGTGCAGTCTCAGCTCAGGTACTGTACTGTACAGTTTAGCGGTAGCGGTTCGAGCAGGGCCAGTTCGGATTTGGAACTTTGGTTTGGATTTGGGTTGGACCCACGCCACACCCATCCCAGGCCTCACAAGGCTGAACAATCCCGCTGCCGAAGTTGCGACCATGCAGTTTTGCGGCCGTCTCCTTTTCGAGTGTTATGTGACGGGATAGAGGTGTATCAGAAAGAAGATGGGAGTTTTACATGCCTTACATTGGTCCATTTGGATAAAATGGTCTTACTAAGCATGAAAGAAAGAGGGCCTGTAGTTTGCCCATGCGTATGTCTCATGCTTAGCCGCCATTTTCTTCTTCGTTCAACCAAGTTACACTAATTCTATGTCGCTGTGCTTTCTTGTTTCTCGTGCTGGTTTCCCGGATGTGTATGTGCTGTGCCATGAAAGGGAGCATCCATTGATTGAATCTTGCTGCAGTGCTTGATTTTGCACATCATGCAAAATGGTGGTACAGTTTACTGTATCGCTTCAGCAGGTTGCTACCCAATGCCAATGCATAGGGCAGAACTGCTTGCTCACTCACTCCCTGAAGGTTGTACTTTGTGCTCAAGGTAAGTCGGTCTGAAGCCACAATCATTATTACCGTAGCTGTGCAGTTTTGGACAAAAGATCTGGCACTTCGCTTGAACTGACATGCCTTATTGTAAACCAGCACCACTGGACTATACACAGAGCGGCGTGGTTCCAGATTGCACAAGGACCCCAGATGGGCTTGGTGTTCCAGCAGCAGTGGCGCTTTCAGGAAGACAGCCAGCAGATAGTCTTCTAGGCGGGGTACCTGAAACCCTTCTTGGTAGCTCTTGATGTTTGAGCTGTTGAGAAGGCGAAGCTGACGTGGACTGCTCGAAATGGTCAATGGGTATGATGGGAAGGAGGTCGCAGTTGCAGACCTCAATCATGTAGTTGTCAGGGTCGAAAAAGAAGATCTGATCGACCACTATCCCGTCTTCCACCACCTGCTGCTTCACGAACGAGATCGCCAAAGCGCTTAGCTTCCTCTCGACTTCGAGAAGATTGTCCGACTGCAAAAGAGAAACAAATGTGTTAAGAAACATGTCGTGGTGAACTCGTTTAACAAAAGGCCAGAGTCTTGCCGGTTGAGCGTTCCGACGAAGCGAGCCTGTAACTTGCCTGAAACGCGATGTGATTATCTCGAGGGGTGAGGGTTCGTGGCATCGGAGGGCAAACGCTGTCGCCTAGAAGGTGAAGCCCGATTCCATAATTGTATAACCTGCCAAAGACGGCTGACAATTAACAACTTCGCCAAGAAAACGAACGACAACTGTACGCAGCGGTCTAACCTTCGCCCTCAATCCTTACCATGCTCCGTCGAAGGTAAGAGACTTTTCGGGACGCTTTACAGGTTGAAAGCCTAAAACGCGTGAATAAAACTCGAGAGATATCTGCACTGAGGCGCATTTGATGGAAACGTGGTTGATGCATCGTATCGGCAGCGGTCCTGAACCAGATTGCCTGCTTATCTCCATCCGCACTTCTAACAAGCGTCTCAAGCTTGCTATAGATTTCGGATTCTCGAGGTGTGATTATCCGACGCATTTATCCCAGATACCCGAATCCCAGGATAGTTCTCCCTCTTTGAACTCGTCCAGGCGACGGACCGCACCATCGTTCCAGATGATGAAACTGGATGCTGAAATTAGGTCACCAGCAGGCCGAAGCGCTCGCCGCCAGCGTTTCGCCATTTCCCAGCTTCCCGTACGGTGCGCGACTGCTCGCAAGTCATCCTTGGCTGGATGGTGCCAACTGGGTCTTGCTGTTGACATGGAATGACGCCGCTCGGCTGACAAAACCAGAGAATGCAAGGCGGGAAAAGATTTTTGCTCGATAAATGCAGACTCACAACTAGTCTGAAGGCCTCTGGTACAACGAACGAGTTACGGGTGTCGCAAGCCGTGGATGTAGAGAGGATATGGATAATACATACGAACAGTAAGAAAATGACGTCATCCGCGCATGATTACCCGGGCGAGCGGGCGGGAAAAGTGACGTCAGACGGCCACGCGGGCCACCCGCTCCGAAGTCCCTCCTGGTCCGAAGGTGGCCCTTGGGAGCTCCGAAGTTCCTTCGGGCCGACAACAGCCTAGGTTTCATCCGGGTTACAATTCGCCCCATTGGACCACGTGTTGCGGGGAATCCCGCGGAGAGCTTCGTTTCCGCGTTCGCGCACCACGTGTCGAGCTCGGAAACGTCGTTAGGAGCCCAAGTGTCAAAATTACAGAGGTCGACGTTCCGACGGATATTCGTTCAGTCGCTCAGTGATGCGAAAACATCTCGCAACCCGATTCTCAGCTGATCGCATGGCTCTCGTTTTGCGCGAATCATGTGCGACATAAGAATCTAACGCTACACGACCATCGACGATAGCAAAGGTAACTATTTCGTCGTGTGCCACGAAAGCCAGTTGACAATCACGCGGATTGCTCCCGTGAAATACGTTCGCGCCCTGAAACATCATTCCGCGTGCCCCACGAAAACAATTCGAAGCCCAGGCCGTGGGGCTGGTCTCATTCCTCACGAAAAGGTTTTGTTTACTGGCTGTACAAACTTTCGCAAGGAAGCATTAGCGTGCAGACACGAAACACGAAATACACTAGTCCCAATTAAACACCATCGAGATTCTTCCATGACCGCGAAATTATCCGGCTATTTGCAGGAAACCACCGACATTCGCGGCTCATTCATGCGCCAGCATAGATCGTGCGGTACAGCACACACAAAAGTTTTCGCGCCACCAAGCAGCAATACTTCTCGAGCCACCCAGTGAAGTTTCGCGCGCGAAAACATCAACAGTTGCTGGGATAAAACAAACTACAACAGCAAATATCTGAAATCCGCGAAAGCTTCTAGTGATATCCACTGGGGAAGCAAATACGACAATGGTGTACGGTTTTTTGTTTATTTCCCACGGTCACATACGGTACAAACTCAACTCGCAGCGGTGAAAGGTCTTTACCGTTCTTAACCATATCTGGCACAGCATTTCGCGCGCCCCACGAAACTTGGGAAAGATGGGTAACGGACGGGCGTGGGGAATTTCCTCGCGCGCATGAAGATTCCTGATAACATTTATCGCTACAAATGACGAGTTCACCCGCGTAAATGCGTCTACGTGAATGACAACATCCGCGAAACCGTCTAAGGAACGCCTCCCCGACTTGCAACCAAGCTCCCGCGAGCGAAAGAGAAAACTAGAATAAGGAGAAACAAACCGTGGTTTCATTCACGCAACATATTCATCGGACGGAATCACCTGTGTGCAGCTGACACGAAAAAAACAAAACCGAAAAAGGCGTGTACGTGTACGTTCGTGACCGCGATTAATCATGACCGCGAAACAATCGGGCCACTGTACACTGTCTTTGCAGGGGCACCACCGACATCTGCGGCACATTCATGCGCCGATTGTTTTCGCACCCCTCGAAAGTTTCGCGCTCAGATATTCACGCTGTTGCTGAGAAAACTTAAGATAAGTGGTTTAGCGAAAGTTATATATCCGCGAGGACACGGGCGATATTCACCACCAAAACGAATCGCTTCATGCGTGCCACGAATTCTGGGGCAAAGACAAGTGCATGAAGAAGTTTTCGCGGTTGCGTTTCTGTCAAAGTTTTCACCACCGACATCCGCGGCTCATTTGCGCCAGCACAATTCGTACATTTCAAGTTGCGAATGCAAAAGTATTGCGCGCGAAAACACCCGCAGTTGTTGGGATAAAACAAACTATAAAAATATAAATTGAGCAGCGAAAACCTGAAATCCGTGAACTTGCCTGGTGATATTCACAAGCGAACCAAAGAACTTTCCGCGTCTGCATTTTCCGTTCGTTTCCCGCGGTCAAATACGATACAGCAAGGTTTACAACGGTTCTGATATTATACCGTTTAAAAACGTAATATTATGCGGTTTACCGTACTGAATCCACAAGAGCGAACAAAGAATTTGAAAGTGTCCCGTAAGTTTTCGCGTCACTTAATGAAAGGTCTTTCGCGCGGAATTCCCCGCTGAAAATCCGCAAACATACAGGCGATTTGACTAGCGAAGTCAATCTATATCCACGTGTACGAATTTGGGGGCAACATGAGTGCGCCAAAAGCAAATATATAAACGGACAACGCCCGCCCCACCCGCCGACTACATGCTCTGCACCAACTTCAAGCACATACCAATTGACTGAACACCCGAAACAATTTCCCACCGCAAAAGCCTGAAATCCGCGAATTCGCCGCGTGCCCGTAAGTTTGGTGGCAAACACGAGTGGGAAAAGTCCAGAAACTCACCGCGAAAATTCCACACGAGTGTGAGCACAGTGGTAGCGCAAAAATTCGTTTAGCTGAAGCGAAATGTTTCGCGCCACCGAGTGAAAGCCCGCTGTGCAGGGACAATGCAGGGTAAATTCATGTCTCGTGCCCCAAAAGTTAGAAGTCCGCGAACTCACAGGCCAGATCAGCAGGCAAACCCCGCGAACACTCGGGCTATTTACACCCGCAATAAAATACGTTTCCACGAATTCCGGGTGGATGGGTGTATGTTTGTTACAAATCGAGACAAGTGGGGCTAAGGAAAAACAAATCGCGCGAGTGAATGCAAGCCTGGTAGATTTTCGTGGGGAGAAGGCATGGCACCGTGGTTGACAAGTGGGGCGGAATGTATTTTCGCGCTTTACACCCTGTGAAATCAGTGCGGAGTGGAATTCTGAGAGCGGAAGGCGATTTCTATGAGATGCTGCCTCACTTTTCGTTATTATATTAGAATATTCATTTTCATCTTTATCTGTAACGGGGACCTCACACGGCCGATCACTGGTGTTTCGAGCCGAACGAGGGTGTGGTCCCCACTGCTGAGTCAGCGTGCTTCCCAGGAGCAGTTGAGGCCTCGTGTCCCTGGCAGGGGCCGAAGGGTCGGCCCTCCGAAATTACGCTAAGGGGTTGGCCGCGTGCCCCAGTGCCAGCCTTGTTTTCCCTCTAGCGACGCCGAAGGCATTTGAGGCGAACATGGTGCTGCCCTGGCTTTGAGGAAATGTAAAGGTAAAACACGAAACACGAACAAATGTAGGATGTGAATGTTGCGGTATAATTAGGGAGTGTTTTCGCCCACTTCCACGGAACCACAATCTGGAAGCAGTCTGAACCTCTCTCAAACTGTTCTATGTAATCTTGGGGAATCAGACGCAATAGACTGCCCGAATGCCATAGAAGTCGTCATTTTCTTCCCTTACCAATGTTCCACAGATTCATGCCAAGAGCTGAATGCCAGACTTCCAGCTCCATTCGTACAAAAATGTGCGTGAATAGTTTACAATTGCATGTATGTTCTTGCAATGTGAGCACTGCAAATGTTCGTCATTCGTCGTGAATAAAGTCCCAGCTCCATCGGTTTCCGACTTGTAGGATTAGTCCTTTCGCAAGATTTACGTTTTTTTTTTTTTTTATGACGAAGACAGGTTCACGCTTCGTGGGATTAACGCACTCCCACGACTCCAGTGTCGGGAAAATGGCAAATAAAGGTCTCCTCAAGCTCTCGAGACAGACTGCTGCAGCTGATTTCGCTTTCATTATGCACCATTTTCTACCTCGACATTCCGTTCTCGCGCTAATCTCTCTCAACCCCTCATCCGCTCTCACAAATCTACCTCTACAAGCTCCTGCAATATTCACTTTCTTTTCCTTGTACCGTTCTTCCCGCATGTGCAGAGGTCCGTCACATGCCACCGTCGGCGGAGCGTCGGCGCGTTATGGGAAGGCACGAGGGCCACGATCACCGCAAGGCGCGCCACGCGCACGACACGCTCTGGAAGCAGCCCGGCGAACGCGGAAGCTACACCGCGGCGACCCTGGTGGTGGCGGGAATCGTGGCCGTGCTGCTCGCTGCTTCTTTTTTCGGCGCACGGCATTTAATGATGCAGGAATAAACTGCGGAGAGGAGATTAAACAAACGGCGGACAGGTCAAGGGACACGAGACTCCGGCCATGGCAGGTCCCCCCCCCCGACCGACCATGTTCCCACAGGTACCCGTGGGCTTCGAATGCACTGCTTTTGTTGTCTTGGTCCCTCCAGCAGCAGCAGCAGCACCACCAGCACCACCACCGGCAGCAGCACCACCAGCACCACCACCGGCAGCGGCACCACCACTCTTCCCTGCAGCACCAGCCTTAGCACCTGACCCAGCTCTCGCCTTCGCTGTCCCCGCCTTCCTTGCTGTCGACGCTTTACCTGCCCCTGCTTTCTTCCCAGCCCCTGTAGTCGCCCCAGCACCAGTTGCAGGGGCAGCAGCAGAAGCAGCACCACCAGCCGCACTAGCAGCAGCACCAGGAGCAGCACCAGCAGCAGCGGTACCCGCCCCTCCTGTCTTGTCCTCTGCCGTTGCTGCTTCACCTGCTGCTACTGGCTGTGGCAGCGCCGGCAAGGCGATATCTGGGGGAGGTGGAGCTGGGGTGAGCTTCCTAACAACGTTCATAATCACGTGGTCCAGTCGTGCCATCTCCCTCACGTCTGCTGCGGTTGGCTTTGCCTCTGATGCTGCTGGCGTGTCGGGGGCTTCAACTGACGCCCCTTCCGACTCTGACCGCTCTGCTGGGGCGAGATGGGTTGTTCAGACGGGGAAAGGCAGGAAACACGAGTGTGGAACGATTCTGATTATGTCTCGAAAAGCTTGACTGGGTGTGAAATGACGAGCCTGATATATGGGGGAGGTAGAGCTGGGGTGAGCTTCCGGACAACGGTCATGATGACATGGTCCAGTTGTGCCCTCCCTCACGTCTGCTGCGGTTGGCTTTGCCTCTGATGCTGCTGGCGTGTCAGGGGCTTCAACTGACGCCCCTTCCGACCCTGACCGCTCTGCTGGGGTGACATGAGAAGTGAGGAAGGTGGGAAGAGGATGGAACAACCCTGTTGTTCCTTGTAGTAGCTATGATCTCTGCAGAAACCCATCGTTCCCACCATGCCCCATACCTTCTTTTGACCGGGCAGCTTCGGGATTGTCGAGAGCCGCCTGGGTCATAGAAAAGGCTGCCCGGAGATGATGCAGGGCACGGCACTGGGGGAGGGGAGGAGGGACGAGGGGGGAGGGGGAAGAGGGAGGAATGGGGACAGGGCATGAGATTGAGGATTGGGATTGGATTGAAATTGAAAGCGTTGGGGATGAAAAGAGAAGAGGAGCGGAGGGGCGAAACGAGAGAATTGATAGACAGGTGAGGAGGAAGAAGGAAACGAGAGAATTGGAGGAAGGTAACAGCACAGGTGGGAAACGAGGGCATGCTTAGCAGCATCATTGTGAAATGAGAGGCAGTGAGAGCATGGCTAGCAGCGTCATAGCGAAATGAGAGGCAGTGAGAGCATGGCCAGCAGCGTCATAGCGAAATGAGAGGCGGTGAGAGCATGGCCAGCAGCGTCATAGCGAAATGAGAGGCAGTGAGAGCATGGCCAGCAGCGTCATAGCGAAATGAGAGGCAGTGAGAGCATGGCCAGCAGCGTCATAGCGAAATGAGAGGCAGTGAGAGCATGGCCAGCAGTGTCATTGCCAAATGACAGTGGAGCACACATAGGGCCATTGCAGCACGCCGCGGCTGAGCCTGGTAAAAGCAAACCTCTAGTCATGATAACAGTCAACTGAGCTTTCGATTCCACAGAAAGTCAGCATAAGGGAAAACATTGCATGTTCTGAGAGAATGAGCGTTGAGACGATGAGGGCATGCAGCAATGTCGCATTTTGAGATTCTCAGAAATGGCCTGCAACAATCGGATCCCAGAGTAGTGCCATAGGGTAGGCTACCAGTGGCACTGCATGGTCTAGAGTAGACACGCCTCACCACACAGAAGCACAGGCATGGCCTGACACGGCCTGACAGACAGACAGACAGACTGACTGACTGACTGACTGACTGACTGACTGACTGACTGACTGACTGACTGACTGACTGACTGACTGACTGACTGACTGACTGACTGACTGACTGACTGACTGACTGACAGTCTGACAGTCTGACTGACTGACTGACTGACTGACTGACTGACTGACTGACTGACTGACTGACTGACTGACTGACTGACTGACTGACTGACTGACTGACTGACTGACTGACTGACTGACTGACTGACTGACTGACTGACTGACTGACTGACTGACTGACTGACAGACTGACAGACAGACAGACTGAATGCCCGACTGACTGTTAGACTGACGGAGTGACTCACGATCCGAGAACCAATAACGGCATGCAGTGAAGGGGCCTGGTAGATGGACCCATCCAGGATGTAGTATGCAGCCACGGGCGTGGTGCGATCTGAACCGTCCCTTTTCTGCTTCCGCAGCACGAACAAATGAGGCTCCTGTGCCATGTGCAGCGAATATTCCCACCCCACCATCTCCCTGGACGAGGGGAGAGGAAGAAACGGGTTCATGTGAGACTTTTTCAAACAAGGAGGATTGGAAGCGGCTCCTACGCCAGCCATTTGCAGCAAACACTCCCACTTCACCTCCCTAGTTGAGGGGAAAGGGAAGAAACGGTTTGTTGTGAGACGTTTTTAAACAAGGATTATTCGAAGGGGCCTTTGTGCCAGCCATGTGCAGCGAGTACTTGCACCCATCCCAACCCACCATATGCCTAGACGAGGGGACAGGGAAGAAACAAGTGGTGAGACGTCTCAACACGTGGAGGAGTCAAAGTGCTTCTGCGGCCATGTGAAGCGAGAACTTCCACCCCAGCATCTCCCTGGACGAGAGAACAAGGAGGAAACGATTTGTAAGACGTCTCAAATCTGCTCCATGTGCAGCAAACAATCACACCCTCTTCCAGGATGCTGGAAAAGAGAAGGAAAGAGAAGGGTGAGAGGGGTGGGGTGGGGGTGTGGGGGGGGGGGGGGGGGGGGGGAGGGGGGAAGGAGATAAAGCTCCACCATAGGGGTAAGAGGATGGTCGGGGTAAACACCAGCGTAGGAGTAAGAGACAGCATAGGAATATGGGCCAGCATAGGAGTAAGAACCAGCATAGGAGTATGCGCATGCGTAGGAGTATGCGCCTGCGTAGGAGTAAGCGCCATAACATGAGACACCTCAGAACATGAAGCCCCATAGGAGGAAGACTTGTGTGCAGTTCCCATGTTTGAGTTGCTGTGGACGTAGTTTATATCTAGAGTTGCCTAGAAAGCGGACTCTCCTTTCAAAGGCAAGATGGCTGGAGAGTCAGAACCAAATGAGCTCTCCACAACGGAAACGCAGATGCACCAGAGGCAAGGATTTTGACACACGAACATGACCTAGCACAAATGCTTAACTGAGATAACACCTACCTGAGGCGCGCTGTGTCAAGAGGATGAATGCCCTGCATCCTCAGCTGCTCGTTGTTGCACGTGCGATCGTAGAACGGCGAGTTAGCGAAATAGTCAAACACGTTACCCGGCACGAGGCATCCGCCAACGAAATTTAGAAATATTTGGTCGCGAAAACATAGGCCCGTGAGATCTAATGACGGCACGGCCGGTTGCGGAGGCCCCGGCGGATTTTGCGGTGGAAATGCCGCCATTATGGATTGACTGCTCGTTTCTCCCTCTTCTGCGCAAGGACGGCAGAAACAGTCGGCTGTGGTTTAATCACAAGGTTTCAGCTATTTAGCCTTTTCAAGAAAAAGTGACCATAGACGGAGGGAGCGGGGGAATAGGGGAGGCAAAACGGACCATGCGCCTTGAGCACCTGATAAGCTTGTTTGGCTTGGCACACGAGAACGTAGAATGCGTCAGGGATTGTAAATACCAACTTGGTTTCCAAACCAGAAAGCACCGTATTGTATTGCTTCATAAGGAACCGATGCTATTCTGATCCGACCCGACGTGAGGGATGGAACACGATCTGTACTGCCTCGTTTCGTTTGGGCAGTATGGAACACGAAATGCTGCTTGTTCTTCGTTCGGGCGAACTAGGTCATTTGAGATTTGTCAGTTTGAGCTCGTCGCAAATACAGCACATTCGTCGCAAATGCAGTTCGAGCCTCCCCACGCGGGTTACTGGGTGTGTTTGAGAAGCGTGTTCGTTCCCATTCCTCTCTGAACACGCCCGGAGTGAGCTGGGTTCAACGAATGAAAGTGGATTCTCCGAGAACACAGAATCCGCTTTCGTTCGTTGAACTAGAGTCAGGTTATGTCAGCCGGCATTCTCCAATTCATCAGTGGCTAAGCTAGTTCTGGTTCTGTTATAGCGGCTAAGGTCTAATGAGCTATCCACCAGCTATCCGCCATAATTCTGTGAGCTTCAAACCACGCGCAATGTCTAGTTTTCTAAGCTGAACATCACAGACAGATTTCTGCAAGTTTTTTTCACTGGCAGAACAAGAAGAAACCATGGATGAGAAAGGCGTCGTTCCCCATGTTGAAACCCCTCAACCACCTCGTCGGCTGAGTGAGGAGGTGGACAACTGGTATGAGGGATCACATACAGTCTCGATGCGTCGCCAATCCTCAGGGATCTCACACTCTGTTCGTCGGCAAAGTTCAGGACTGTCAGAAGCCATTCGGCGTCTTAGTTCCCAAATATCAGAAACAGATGACTTGCGTTTGATTGAGGCTCTAAATGGCGTTGGCGAAGCAGCTTTGATCCATCTTATCAAGGCTTATCACGATGTTCTCAAGAGCCATGGCCTGTCTAAGGAGGCAGCAAACCTTGTCAGTTCAACCGTAAAGGATTTTTCAGCATTGACGGGCGACGAGGAGATTGAGGAGCTTGAAATGCCTCGTGGAACAAGTTTGCTGTTGAAGACTGGACTGAGAAACTATCTACTCTCGATCAAACCATACTTGCCTCGTAATCCATCTCAGGTACAATATGGTCCAGGACCTCGTGTGTGCATCTTCACAAGGTTTTCTACTGATTAAGTGTGGTTCCGTAGGTAGTCAAGGTTCAAGGACTTCAGTATGTCGGCAAATCGAAGCCACTACCTACCACGACAAGAAATTGCTGGAATGCAGTAAGTTGTTTGGGCCTCATTCATAAAGTCAGATCAGAGCTTCATGTCCCCGGAAAATGAAATCACGCAATCTGAAACACTGCAGGGGTACCTAAGCTTGAAGAACGTCTTGACACCCGAGGAGCCTGTCTCAGTGTTAAAAGACATAACCGGGTACTCATTTCGAGGTTTCTCATCTAGTCTTACATTGAATGTCTACCTTTTCTCAATACTTCACCACCGTTGATTCGCAGGTACTTCATGCCAGGCACATTGACCCTTGTTATTGGACCAGCTGGTGTGTTGAAATTCTGCAATGAACTTGTGAAGTGACGCATGATGTTTTCCTAATTAATCTCGGTATTACACCCAGGAAGTGGAAAATCAATGCTTGTGAAGCTCATTGGAGGCCAGCTTGCAGCTTCTGAAGGTATTATTCGATTCAATAACACGCCAAGCACAAGCGTCCAGGTTCACCGCACCGTTGGCATGGTTCCAGAGCAGGATCATCATCTTCCTCTTCTAACTGTTCGTGAAACACTGGAGTATGCTCGGAGATTCACCCGTGCTGTGACCCTCCGACAGCTGAAGCACGATAAGATTCTGCATGCTGTCCTGCATGAAGCGTTTGATGCTGGAGAGGATCCGCTTGTGGAGTCTAGGCTCCTGATGTTTGGTCTGACAAATCAGGCCAAGTCACATGTGGGATCACCAGGCTTGACAAAAGATGAAAGGCATCGGCTGACAGCAGCAGAAACCGTTGTTGGGGCTTACCCAGTAAGTTCCATTGCGCTCTCTCTCTCTCTCTCTCTCTCTCTCTCTCTCTCTCTCTCTCTCTCTCTCTCTCTCTCTCTCTCTCTCTCTCTCTCTCCGTTTCTGCCAGTGAATTATCTTAATCATAGAGGCTGGTTTCTTTTCAGGTTTTGGTGTTTGATCACATCAGTGAGCTATATGATGGCCCGTCTACTTTCAGAACCCTTTCCATGCTGAAAGAGTATGCTCAGGTCCGACAGACAGTGGTGGTATGCAGTTTACAATGGCCCACTCAGGACGTCTTTAACCTGTTTGATCGCGTCATCGTGCTCAACTCTGGCCGAGTTGTCTATCAAGGCCCAACTGCTTGTTCAACAAGCTACTTTGTGGACTTGGGGTATGGGTCTTACATTTCAGAAGGTGCTGTCGTGTACGTGCTCTGAGCTGAACACCGATTTTTGTAACTATTTCTCAGGTACAAGAAGCCTAAGTACATATCGGAGCCAGAGTTTCTTCAAGTTGTCTCCACAGAGGCTGGAGCACAGCTTCTTGAGCCAGGCTATGAGAAGCTGGACCTCAATGGCTTTGGTACGGACCGTGCTGTTTTGTTTTGCTCACCTTTTTCCGTTCTTCACTTATTATGAGGTGCTTACATGGTCTTGTTATGATGGACAGTGCGTGCATATGAACGATCTCCGCTTCATCGTGATGTTATGCGCATTGTCAACAACAAAGGCATCAGCTGTACCATCTGGATATCTGGACCAGCCAAGCTTGTTCTCACGCGCATCACTCTCAGTCTTGCCTCCGATGCGAACTCCTCTGCCAAAACCTCAAGAATAGTCGTGCTGAAGTCAGACTGCAAGGAGGATAGCAAGGATGGTGAGCTGGTCCTGACTGGGCCTATTGAAGAAGGTGATGAGCTTGTTGGGTTTGCACTTATGGGAAGGCAGTTTGAGTATGCGAGAAATGTTGGTGGTGACCTGGACCCACAAGACCTTGGCAAGTTTCTCGAAAACCTAAAAGACAGTAGCAACATGGTTCAGCTTCAGTTTGAACGACCAGAGCCAACGTCTACAGAAGAAAAGGTGATGGAAGATGGCAACTGTGATGTGTTTCCTTTCCTTGTTGAGCAACCATTTGTTGACATTCTGTGATCAGGTCAAGGAAGCACAAGATGAGGTGAAGCAGTTGAATACTCGGTTCATATTGGACCCTTGGCCAGAATTCTTGCTGTTGCTGCATCGTCAGCTATTATCAATATGCAGGAATCGATTTGCATTGATGGCAAGATTCATTCAGGTTTGCATTGTCATGAATCTGTCTACACTCATGCTTTTCAAATCTCTTGTTGACGTTTTCATGACTTTTGGTCTTGGTGATGCAGATTCTGGTCATGTCCCTTTTCCATGGCTTCAACTTCTTTCAGATGCCCTCTGACCCTCCAACTGTTGGCAACCTGAACCTTCGTCGAGGAATAACCTTTCTCTCGCTTGTCGCGATGACCTTGTTCAACCTCAGTCAGCTACCTATATTCATGGAGGAGCGTCTGGTCTACTACAAGCATTCATCTGCCCAAAGCTTTCGCACATACACCTACCTGTTGGCCCATGTGTTGGCTGGAGCTCCCTTTTCAATCATAGAGGTATGTCCAGTTTCAGTAACTTGGGGTTTTGAAGTTTTCTTAAGAATGTGTAGCTTACTTTCCTCGTGTTTCTTCAGGCAACTGTGTGGTCCATCGTCGTGTATTTTTTGGCTGGATTTT